GAGGAAAGCTTTAAAGCACTGAAAGCTTGTTTTACTTTACAGGCAGCTTTACTTGTAATGTAAATAAGAATAGGTAACATGTACATATATGTTTTTATTACGTTATTTTTAAATGTTCACAATTTTATTTTGATAAATGAAAAATTAGAAAAGTCATATCACGGCTGTCGGCTAAAGTCGCCGTGCGCGTTCATCTGTGGCTATTGACTGTAGTCAATGCTCGTACCAAAGTGGTTAAAAAAATTAAAACAAAAAAAATTAAACAAAAGTAAAGAGGTAGACTATAATAAGGGGCATAAAAGTCATACAAATAATTTGAAGGGTCAGGGAAATGAAGAATTTTTCTAGGCAGAGAAAATCAGGATGTCTTTATGAAATGGTGGCATTTGAGATAAGCCTTGAAAATTTGCTAGGGTTCAACATGAAATGGAAATAATGTCATGCCAAATGAGTAGACTAGTAAAAGTGGAGAGATGAAAGGACAGGAAAACGTATTAGTTGATAAGTGTTGATTTAGCTGCATTAGAGTGAATTAAGGAGAAACATGGATTATAAAGCTGGAAAGAATTTGAAATAGATGTGGTTGGCCATAGACCATAAGACAGAAAGAATATGAGTGTTTTCCACAGGGAGACACGAAAGGTTAATCAATTGGAGGTTGCTGTAATCAGATGTTTTTCTTGGCAAGATTATTTGAAAGGACTTTAAAATTGATTGAATGCTGGCTGCAAGAGAAATAGGTGATGTTACTCTGAGATTTCCGCCTCTGTTCTGAGATAGATGGAGGTTCCATTTCCAGATATAGGAGAATCAGAAAGAGAAGATAATTTGGGAACTAAGATAACAGCAATTTTAGATATATTAAATTCAGAGTGATTTGTAGGTAGAAATGTTTGGCAGACAGTAGAATATGTGGAACTAGAGCTTGGGAAGAAGGGGTCAAAATAAAGACCTGACAAAAATAATTAAAGAACATCATATTCTGTGATCGGATTCTCAGGTTTTAACAAATTTGGTTAAACTGAAAATTTAGATGTTTCTATTTTTTAATCACTTGTGTTTATTATTGCATGGCTCTTGATTTAAAAACAATGAAAACCCACCAGAGCTTTTAAATTTCTTTTCTATGTTAAATAAATCCTTGTGCAGTGACATCATTTTTATATTTAGTTCCTAAACATGAGTTACACAATATCTTTTTATTCTTTGTTCCTTTCCTTTTTGTATTTGAATAGATTTAGGGAGTACCAGGGATTTTTTTGTTGCATGGATGAATTATATAGTGGTGAAGCAGGGCTTTTACCGTACCTGTCACCTGAATAGTGTCCCCTGGACCCAATAGGTAATTTTTGATCCCTCACCCATCTTCCATCCTCCCCCTCCCAACCTTTTCAACACCAAGGACCAGTTTTATGGAAGACAGTTTTTCCACAGACCAAGTCTGGGGTGGGGTGGGGTAGGGTGTCGTGGGTAGAGGAAGGGCAGTTCAGGAGGTGTTACGTGGCCATTTCCTAACAGGCCACAGACCAGTACTGGGCCATAGCCCCAGGGTTGGGGACTGTTATGCCACTCTGTATGACCAGGTATATACATTGTTTAGCTCCCACTTATAAGTGAGTACATGTGGCATTTGTTTTTCTGTTCCTGAGATACATTTTTGTGGGACTGTTATACAATCATTAGTTGTTTGTACACATTTAAAACCGATGCTATATTGAACAAATAATTGAAAGGAAAACTTATTTTCTATAGGATATCAAAGTACACATTCCTCTAGATCTGTTAGTATAGTTAAATTCTGTCACTTTTTATTTTTCTTATTCTTAAACTTCGGTGATATATGTTCTGGTATTTAAATTAAGATCAACATGAATCCATTCTTTACATCTAGCAAATTAAAATAAGATTCAGCAGTATTTTAATGTTTACAGTTAAATTATACTTTTAAAATATTTTAAAAATTATAAACATAGCAAAGGCTTATAAAAAATTTAAACATATATGTGTATGAAATAATTATGAGAATCCTAATTTTCTCTGTCTTCAATTTTACCTCCCAAGAGTTAACATTCCTAATAGCTTATTATATATTCTCTTCAATTTTTTTCTATACATGGAGAAAAGCACTACTATCTTTTTATTTTAATTTCAACTTAACTACATAGTATTCTGTAACTTTTTTAGCTGAAAAATTGTCATAAGCATATTTTTTATTATGTTCTATGAGAAACAGTATAGCTATAAATATCACTACTTTTATTATTTCTTTCCTTTGAGAAGTTTTCTGAAACTATTAAAAAGACAGTGAGAAAACATTAAGGAATTACTATACTCTGCTTTAGGCAATTTTAGTGAATCTCAATATTATTTGTGCAAAAATACTACAATGTGATTCTAAGATCTTCATTCATTTTTCAAAACATGTATGCTAAAGCCATTCTGTATGTTATTCAGTGAAGGCCTTCTTCAAATATGAAGTGATATGCTTGAAAGAGTATGTTGAAAAGTCTGCTGTTTGAAATCCTAGCTAGTTTGGGAAAGTATCAGTGACTTATGAAGGTATCATTCCCAAGAGGTTGAGAGAAACAATATTATGTTTTATCCATTCAAAACCAAACCAGCCTTTGAAGCTCTAGTGATAAGAAAAATGTTTACAGCCTCCTATGGAACCCAAGGAGATGTTAAATGTCATGTGTAATAACCTTTACAATGTCTCTCCTGAAAGAATAGAATAGAGATGTGAGTATTTGGTGAAATATACATTTTCTTTTAGAATACATTATGAGATTTATCAAGCCAGATGCACACTGAGGCACACAAAGACAAACTTATTTGCTTCCCATCCTGATATCTTCTTGGCTTTGATCATCTTGTCATAACTAGTGAAACAGATCTATTAATAGTTCCCAGTGAAGGACATCACATGGCATGTGGATGATTGGACTGGTAGCTGGGAACTTTGTTGTGTGTCTTGCTTTCTGAGAACTACAATTTTTGTTACACAGAGGCTCTGGCCAGCCTTAAGTAATATCAAGTAAAAATGGCTAGTGGTTTTTACAGGAAATATCATCTTATTTGGAGATTTACTAATGAAAAAATTGTTTGTTCTCAGGGTTATTAAAAACTAAAATGTAAATGAATTACATACAGAATCACAACTATAAATGAAATAATGTCATTTTAATAATATAAGTAATGTTTAAACAATATCATTTTTGAAAATTTCAATATATTTTAATACTTTATACTATGGTTAGCAGTAACAATCCTATAAGAAAGACTGATTGCAGAATGGTAGTTTTCAAATTTCATGTTACCTTAATTCCAATTTCTGAACATAGATCATGTGACTTTAGTTTATTTATAATTTATTACAAACAAACAGTATTAATACCTACCTTTTTATTTAGTATTTTCACTGATTTTCACTGATGAAACTGTCTTTCGTTTTTGACTCATGAATTGATAACATATCTCCATGGTTTCTTGATCTTCCTTTCCTTCCTCTCCTTATAGCATCCCTACATGACTTACATCAATTGATCAACACAGTGAGTTCCGAGGTCTTAGACTTGCTTTATGTAACCCAATCTCTAACCATGGGGCCCACCAAACCATTGCTATTTTCTTTTCTCTGTGCCCTAACTTCGGCTCGTATTTCCCCATAATTCATATTATTGCACATAAAAAATTCTACTAATCTTGAACAAATGCCTATTTTCCTCCTATTCCATTTGATTTCTTATGCAACCCTCACCCATTTTCTCTTTCTTTGCTTTACTGAGGACAGTGGCCTGCCATAGTTAAGAATTAACTGACCTGGATCCGAATTTTGTCTTATCTTTTTACTAGCTGTATGGTCATGGGCAAGTCGTTAAGACTCAGTTACTTAATTTCTTTATCTATAAAAAACAGCCCTGTGAGGTTATTATGAGATTTTAGAAATAGGGCACTTAGCATTGCCCTTGGAACATGATACTTGATAAATGCGGAGTAGTCACAAGCAGATGATCTTTGATCCATATTCCTTGGGTTACATGTATTTCCAGCATTTGGAACTTAAAGACTTTAAAAAGTATGCATATTCCATACATTACTTAATATCGCCAACAGAATGTGAGTCACCATTCTTAGACACGTTGATAATTTTGTAGGATGATACTTCTGCATGATTTTTAATACAGAAGTATTAGCCTCACATCATTATACTCCCATCAGTTCTGGTCAAATAGTGCTATCAAATGAGTTATGAAAAAACACATTTTCAAAATTTTTGAATTTTGGAATTGCAGATGAGGGATTAGGAATCTGGAATATTGGAGGAAATTCTTCATTTTTTTATTGTAAACTGAAATTTATTTTCATTTTGACTACCTGGGTGTTTTCTAGATTTCCTAAACATGAGACCACAGATACTTTTTCTTACCTCCAGTCCCACAAATCATCTCCTTCTTTAGGTAGCCTCCCTACTGCATTCCAAGTTTCTTCTGAGAATGAAGGGAGGGAATAAAATAGAATTATTTCTGTAGGAGCATAATTGTTGGCATGGAAGATTCATTTCACATTGATAACTTTTTTCTCTGTGGAATTTGTTAAGATGTGAAATACATAATAAGAACTAGGGAGAAAAAGACAAAAATCATTAGTTTCATTTCTTTTTGTGATTAATAGCTGGCTGCTCTTATGTATTTTAACTCAGAAGATGTTTTAGCAACATTTGTAGTTAAATGCAGTATAGCAATTTTAGATTGTGTGTAATTTATTGTTTGACATAAATATTTATGTGTTTTTAGAGAAATGCAGGTTATCTTTTTGACTGTTGACATTGCTTTTTTTTTCCACTAATGAGCATCTATATTGATTTTAGTCTGTTCATTCCTATTATTTATTGACTTAGGGGACTTACTATGAGAAAAAAAGTTGTAATTGAATCATAGTCTGTTAATATATAATTATTAATCAGAATTGATTCTAGTATTTATTTATTTTTATTTTTTTAGTGTCCTACTGAAACCAAAGCAACATTTGGGGTCCATCTTAAAATAGTAGGAGACTGGACAGGTATGTAGAACATAGAGTCTTAAGATATATGTTTTGAAAATAAAGTAATATAATTTGAATGTGTTTAAGTAGTGTAACTACCAGCTTATATAGAGATGTGTGTATATTTCAAGCTGTTGTTTTCTTTTCTTTTTTTACTTGTATAGTTTTGACATCTATGTTTTCTTCTTGTAAGGTGCATTTTTGGAATCAGAATACCTTGGATATCAGTAATTATTAATAATATATTTTTCACTGTGCTTGCAAATCATAGGTTTCTGCCTACTTATCACATGTACTGGCAATAGTGGGAACACTGAAATGCATTTCTTAGAAAACATAATTTTAAAGTTTGTGGTTGCTTTGGTTCTCAAAATAATTAACACTTGAGATCTAGATTACACAAATCTTCTAGTTCTTGCATGACCTTCTGTGTGGTCTATCTGTATACATAATAACTCCACAGTCTCTTTGGAATAGTGGTCACTTTTACTAGCGGGTGTGTTGGTGATACTTTACTTACCTATTCAATAAGTACTTTTTATTATCTAAGAGATGCATTGTATTAAGAGTTCTGAGTAAATAAAAAGAAATATTATTGATTCTTATATTCCCTTGACCCACCTTAGTGACTGACAAATGGATGCTTATTAAATGTTGGCTTGTTTGTTGGTCATTTGGGTTGTTGTTTGAAGGAAAGAATTCAGGCATAGACATGAATGGAAATGTAAGTTTAAATATTTTTATAATTAAGTGATAAACAGGAAGTTGGCTTGTAAAATCTACAATCACAAAAATGTAGATTTAATGTAATCTAGGGCTAAAAGAGAAGATTCACAGAGAAGATAGAATTTGAGCTGAACCTTAGAAATCAGGCAAATGAAAAAAAGAAGTAGGAATTTTTTTTTCTTTTAAATTATTATGGGTATAAAATAGTTGTATATCTTTATAGGGTACATGTGATGATATTGTCATATAATGTGAATTAATCAAATTAAGGTAATTGGAGTATTCATCACCTCAGTCAGTTATCATTTTTTTGTGTTAGAAACATTGCAATTCCACTTGTAGGTATTTTAAAGTATACCCTAACTTGTTTTTGATTACATTCACTTTGTTGTGCTATCAAATATTCTTCATTCTATCTATCTAACTATATTTTTGCACCCATTAACCATCCCCACTTTCTTCCTCCTCCACTACTTTTCCCAGCCTCTGGTAACTGTCTTTCTACTCTCTGTCTCCATGAGATTAATTGTTTTTAATAGCTCCTACATATGAGTGAGAATCTATAGGATTTGTCTTTTTGTGCTTGGCTTATTTCACTTAACATAATGTTCTCCAGTTCCATCCATGTTGTTGCAAGTGGCAGGATTTCATTTTTGTGTGTGTGTGGCTATATGATATTCCATTGTATATATGCACTACAATTTCTTTATTCGTTTATCTGTTGATGGACACTTAGGTTGATTCCAAATCTTGGCTATTATGACTACTGCTGCAACAAATCTGGGAGTGCAGATATCTTTCCAATATACCGCTTTCCCCTCCTTTGGGTATATACCCAGTGGATTGCTGGGTCATATGGTAGTACTATTTTTAGTTTTTTGAGGAACTTCCATACTGTTCTCCACAGTAGTTACACTAAATTACATTCCCACCTACAGTGTATAAGGGTTCCTCTTTTTCCACATTCTTGCCAGCATCTGTTATTGCCTGTCTTTCTTTTTGATAAAAGCCATTTTAACTGGGGTGAGATGATATCTCATTGTAGTTTTGATTTGCATTTCTCTAATGACTAATGATGTTGAGCATTTTTTCATATACCTGTTGGCCATTTACGTGTCTTCTTTTGAGAAAGGTCTATTGAGATCTTTAGCCCGTTTTTTAATAAGATTATTTTATTTTTTCCTATTGAGTTGTTGGATATATTTATATTCTAGTTATTGATCCCTTCTCAAATGGTAATTTGTAAATATTTTCTCCTATTCTGTGGGTTGTCTGTTTATTGATTGTTTTGTTTGCTGTGCAGAAGCTTTTTATTTTATTAATTTAATTTTATTTTTATTTCAGAATATTATAAGGGTAAAAATTTTTTGGCTACATTAATTGCTTTTGTACTATTTGAGTTAAATTTATAAGTGTGCTCATACCCCAGATAAGTGTGTACTGTACACGTTAGGTGTAAATTTGTCCATCCTCTCCTTCCCCCTCCCATCTTCTTGATTTCCAATGAATGCTATTTCCAGATGTGTACATAAGTGTTGATAGGTTACTTCCAATTTAATGGTGAGTAGCTGGGTGTTTGTTTTTCCATTCTTGTGATACTTCACTTAGAAGAATGGTCTCCAGTTCCATCTAGGTTAGTACAAGAGGTATTAGTTCACCATTATTTTTTATGACTGAGTAGAACTTCATGCTCTACATATACCACATTTTATTAACCAAACAATGTATTGATGGGCACTTGGGTTATTTCCACATCTTTGTGCAGAAGTTTTTTAGCTTGATGTGATTCTATTTATCCAATTTTGCTTTGGTTGCCTGTGCTTTAGGGGTATTACTCAAGAAGTCCTTGCCCAGACCAATGTCCTAAAGCATTTCCCCAATGTTTTCTTTTAGTATTTTCACAGTTTGGGGTCTTAGATTTAAGTCTTCAATACATTTTGTTTGATTTTTGTTTATGGAGAGAGATAAGGGTCTAGTTTCATACTTTTGCATATAGATATCCAGTTTTTCCAGCACCATTTATTGAAGAGACTGTCTTTTCCCTACTGTATGTTCTCAGCACCTTTGTCAAAAATAAGTTCACTCTAGATGTGTGGATTTATTTCTAGGTTCTTTATTTCTTCCAGTGGTCTGTGTTTCTGTTTTTATGTCAATACCACGCTGTTTTGCTTACTACAGCTCTGTAGTATAATTTGAAGTCAGGTAATGTGATTTCTCCAGATTTGTTATTTTTGGAACAAAAATGATGTATTTGGCTATTCTGGCTCTTTTGTGGTTTCAGATAAATTTTAGCATTATTTTTTCTATTTCTGTGAAGAGTGTCATTGGTATTTTGATGGGAATTACACTGTATCTCTAGATTGCTTTGGGCATTATAGATTGCATGGATATTTTAACAATATTGATTTTTCCAATCCATGAGCATGGAATAAGATATAGGAATTTTAAGTGAAATGTACAACATTATAAAAAATCAAGGAAGCCAGTGATTGAAACATTTGGGAAGGATAAGCCAATTAGCGTTCAATCAAACAAACCAAGGAAAAGTCAATCAAATAAAACAAAACAAAATACATATCAGTTAAACAAAAGCAAAGATTATGTTCTGGGGAGTAGTGATTTAAGGGCAACTTAGTCAAGATTACGTATGCCTTGACAAAAGTTATAATAATCTAGAGACTTTTGGGGAACCTTTGAAGGATTTGCAGCACCATGATGAATACAGTATTAATAAGTGGCTAGTTGGATGGATCAGAATCAAGGGACGACATGTAGGTACTTCAAAGCAGAGGGGAAAGAGACAGTGGGGGAAGGGTGGAAATGGAAACTGGAAGGAATGGACTTGTGAGCATAGGTTGAGAAGTTAGTATTGGAAAGAAGAAACTAATATCTGTAAAAATCAGGGAAGGATAAAATGTTAAGTAATAAAGAAATATTTTTGGATGAGGAGAAGGGCAGAAGACATAAGGAACTTATATTTTATAGTTTTAAAAAATAATGGTAGTACATATAAAATTCTGTCTTTAGAAAAAATAGCCAGTTTGGAGTTGGAGACTTGAAAAATATGAAGAAAATATGCAACATAGAATTTAATGGACAGACAACTAAATGAATTAAAAGTATATTTGAGCAGTAATGATCTATTTTGAATCATGAAAAACAGGCTTACATAAATAATGTTCATGTGATAGCATTCAGAAAAGATCATGGTAGTCCATTGATGAAAAATTACTGCGATGGTATGGACTTATTGATTCTCTCAATATGCACAGAATCAATTGACATATTCACAATTTTTTTTGTACTGTTTGGGAAATAAAGAATGAGGGGAGTTCTTTTCTAGTCAGAAATCCCAGTATAACAGGAATTAAGCTTTGTAACACATGGTAATTGATAGAATTCTATATCTGAAGGAAAACAAGCAGAATGAAGACATAATTTAATTCATAAAGATAAGCAAAAACATTTTGATGGTTTATTACTAGCTATTGTTACTCAGTTTCTTCACAAAGTTGTTTTCTATTGCCAGTAGTTCATTAAAATAAATGATTATTTCATCATTTATTTTAATCATCTCTATTAGGAACACTTAATAATATTAATTTTATCCTCTTTTTTATATAGTATGCCATTGAGAAAAACAAGATCATTCTATTTGGAGAGTTCAGTTCCAGTCAAATGCTTTCTAATTAATAGACTTTTTTGTTGTTGACTTGAAATATTTGTTGACTTGGAAAAAAATGTCAAGCATTCATGCAGAGAACCTCTAAATAATCATGTCACTGTCTGACACTTTAGTTCAAAAAGAGATTTAGCTGCCTTTAAACAGTGAAATTACAATTATTGAAGGAAAAATAGGAACATATATTTGAGATTAAGGATCACTGGTTTTTATTCTAAAAGAATTGATTAAAAGCCAGTAGTAAGAGCAGCAGGTATAGTACACACTAAAGAGGTGCTTATGAGGTGCTTGAATATCACTTTTATTTAGATATTTAATAGTTACTTTTTCTTTGTTGAGATTTATGATGAATTGGCAGTATACAGGGACTAAAAAGAACAGGTTTAAGATGGCTCCATAAATGATCTTTCCACGACTAATCAACTCCACATAGCTATAGAGTGCCAAAGAAGCCTGTGCAGCAGCTATACAGCACAGGACAAGGAGGCATCAGGGTTTCATATTTGTTTTCTAGACTGTTATTTTCACCAAACTTCTACTTTCATTTCTTGAACATGTGGAAGACCAATTAAGTCTAGAAGACGCTTAAAACCCCTTAAACGCAATTCAT